TAAATTTATGAGTCTCTACGCTAAACTTTTTTGTCTTTCACGCTGTCCCATCCGCTTTTACACCTAACGGTGTCAAACTACAGTGCGAAAAGTCTAAAATGCCCTCATGGAGCCACACAAAAATTCGTTGTTCCTCTTGTGCCACCGACTTCCGCAGCACCTCGAACGTGGACGCTGGATGACGGTTGTCGTGGCTGCCGCTAATGTGTGAGCTTATGCTGTCTGTTGAGTGTTTGACGAGATTTTGTACAAAAGATTTCTCACATGTGTATGCATATATATTTGCTATTAATTAATGAGAAGCATTTTGTACTTAAGGAGAAGAAAAATAAATAGGCAATATGTGCATGTATATTCACGTGCGCTAATTAAATGGAGAAGAAAATAAGAAGCAAGCAAAATAGCAGCTAGCTAGCTGCATGAAAACAAACGTGCATACATGCTAGCAAATGCGTATCTGAACTCACGCTACACATATCTGGACAGCTTTATGGCGTCCATGTATTTCTCTCTAAGTAAGTCGTACGTCGTATGTATACGCGGAGCGATATACGGCGCGAGAATTGAATCCGCCGCCAACATATGAGCTAGAACACGAACTGGCCGGGGCATGGCATGGATGGCTTGATCGATCATACGAGCTATCAAGAAGCGAGAAATCGGGAGAAAAAGAAGAAGCTAGCAAGTGTACGAGCTTCTATGTGATATACGGTCTCATGCATGTATGTGAGCGTTCACGATGTGCTAACTGCTAAGCTAGTATAGCAATATATGCAAGTGCTTCCGGCTAGAGGCAGTATAGCAATGCATGTATGTGAGCGTTCACGACGCGCGCTGGAGGCCGGCCCGGCTCGGACCATTCTAGAAGCCTTCGCCATCTACGCACAGCCTGTAGATATTCAGGCTGGCATAGTCCGGCTTTTGGAGATCGGCGCCCGCGCCCGATTGACGGTGGCCGTGAGTACAAAATCGACGTGCCGCCACGGCGTTCCTTTGCCGGCGATCATCGAGGACCTTGGCGGCCACACGGACACGGCGCGCTTCCCCGGAGGCCTTCCCGGCCGTCGGCCATCATGCGCGCGAGACGGAGCACGCGGGACGCGGGTCGCGCATTCGAGAAGGAAACGACGCGCTGAGGGCTGAGGCGGTCCGCCGGTCCGAGGTTGTGGATGATGAACGACAGTACGACACGGCCTGTACGACCAGAAACAGCTTCTGGCCACGCATACTGTTGCTGAAGTCGATCACTGTCACGAGGTCGAGCGGCGCTCGCTTCGCCGCCGACCAAAGCCGCGGCCGCCGGCTCCGGTGCCCTGGTGTGCAGAGCACCCCGAATCAGACCTTGGACGCGCCATGGTTTTGAACCACCTCGTCGGCCGCCCAGTCCAGGTCTTGCGCCGCATCGACGCTCTCCTCCACCACCTGTTCGTCGTCGTCGTACGAGCCAGGGAAGGAGGCCTCGCGGGTGGAGCATGGCTGGCATGCGATGCCGCCATGGCCTTGGCAAGCGGCCAGGAGCGCCGCCACCCTGGTGCGGCCGCGTCCCGTGAAGCATCCGGCCTCCTGTGCCAGCGCGCCACGCCCGCCCGCGGACGTCCCCTCCGCCGGCGCCGGAGGAGTCGAGCAGCGCGGCCACCGCGCGCGGAGACGGTTGCGCCCGCGGAGGACGCCGGCACCGCGAGCGCGAAGCACGCCAGCTCCTCCAGCGCGGCGGCGCGGGAGGCTGCAAAGGCCCTGTTCGCTGGTCGGTGTTGGTACTAATTTAGGCTGGCTGGTGCTGGTTTTTTTTAGAGGAAAATACTGTTGGCTGGCTGTTTTGGCTGGTTTGGGCTGGCTGAAACCAACGAGCGAACATGCTGTAAGTCGCAGACCTAGACGGAGCCGGGCAACGAGCGCATCTACGACCAAGGCTCGCGCGGGCGTCTAAGCGCGAGAGAGAGGACAGGGGTGGGGGAGAAGTGGATTTTAGACATCTTCATTGAGTGGGCCCACGTGTCAGAGAAGCGGATGGAATAGCGTGGAAGACAAAAAAAAAAATAGCACAATAATATCTATAACCACTCGAATTTTTTAATGACTTATAGACAATTACATTATCTTATAATGGCATACACTAACACTTCAATCCTGATGCTAGTAAAAAAAAACGTTTATTGTGCTTTGTCAAGTTTGGCTGCTTGCACTCGAAGACCTTTTTGCTTCTTTTCCTAGATATGGTTCTCGGAAGCTGCCAGTATACCCAACGTGTTGTAACTTGTTTTCTTATTTATTTTTTATCCATTTATTTATACTTTAGGTGTTGAACAAAAATGGCCGGTGGCACTGCCCCAATTTCCAAATCACGGTTCACCAGCCCATTTCCTAGACACGTCGTCGCACGAAATGGAAACCGAGCGTCCGCCGCGACGTCAGCAGCCACCGTCGGGGCTGCCGGCTGCTGTTGCTGTGGCGACCGCGGCGGCCATGTCGATGGTGCCTGGCGACGACAACCTCCTGCGCGAGATCCTCCTCCGCGTCTGCCTGCCAAGGTTTTAACCATGTGTTTGGTTTGAGGGATTTGTAGGGGTGGGATAGGATGGACCTGGGATTTGGGCTGTTTGATGGAAGTCAGCCTAAGGACAGGGACATCCTACCTAAGCATATTCCTCTCAGATTCCTTGACACCCATCCCATTTTTTTTCACGGACGGGGGTGGTTCCTGCTTTCTTCTAGTACCTTCTCACCTCTCACCGACAGTCTCACTCGGTTCTTTCTCGGAAAAAAGGCACGAGCGGGCGAGAGCTCGGCGGCGGCGCATCCTTCACCGGCGCAGGACGTGGGGCCACAGCGCTTGGCGGCGGCGCGGCACCAGGCGGCGCGGCACCGGCCCCCACGGCGGCAGCGCGGCACCGGCCCTCGCAGCGGCGGCGTGGGCTGTGGTCGGCAGCGGCGGCGCAGCCTGTGGTCGGCGGCGGCGGTGCGGCACACGTCCGGCAGCTTCGTCCTCCTTCTCCATTAGCAGATTTGTGATTTGCCCAAGGTATACAAACCCTAACACAATGGATTTGCCCAAGATTTGTGATCTCCATTAGCAGATTTTTTTGTTGCCTCCAGTAGTTCAACAAGTATGATGTGATTTATGCTTGAGACATGTTTGCTTCTGCATATGGTAAAAAATCAGCAAAGTTCAATGGGAATTTTTTCCCTACGCTGTAGCGCTAGTAAGTAGATGAGTGTTGCTGCATGCCCCTGAGTACATGTATCTGTTTGCGCTGAGCCGCTGAATTCAGTTTGCCTGGATTTGTACTATCGCCATGCAAGGATGTACCCTTTGTATGACGATGTTCAGTCCAACATTTGTTTATGGATTCAGGCTATTCATTCATTTGTGCTCCTAGCGTCCTGTGGATGCTTAAGAAATATTTGCAATTTTTCTATTTGGTATATAGTTCTGGTAACATCCAAAGAAAAAGTTTTGGTTACAAGTATATGTTACTCATCATATTTAGTATGACATTGAAAAGAAAAAATATATAACGACAAGTACTAGCAAATTTATCAGTGACAAACAAAACACTCTCTATCAGTTATCAGACCGAAGTAGTATCCAGGTTAATGTAGTATGCGCTATGCCCACCGATTATTTAACTATTTACCACTTTTTATGTACTGAATGGCAACACATCTGCCAGTCTGCCACAGTGGCAATGGCTCATTGGTATTGACTCTGGTGTTCCTAGATGTTAAGTTGCCTTATGTTTCTGATCTGTGTTTGAGCATGACATGACAATATTGTTTTTCTTTCTTTGATTGTTGCATTGTAGATGGATCAGAGAACCAAGGTTCTAATTTGTTCAGCTGCTGCATATATGTTCTTGTTCATGGTGGCCACGGTTATTCAGTCTAGAAAAAGAAAAAGACGTGCCAGTAGAGTTGGTATTACTTATGCGCCAATCGAGGAAAGGGATAGAACTAGACAAGAATACATAGACACTTGCATTTGGAAGGATGATACAACTTGTGTAAACATGCTTAGACTTAATAGAGCATGTTTCTATCGATTTTGTAACCTTTTTAGAGATCGAGGGTTGCTTCAAGATACCACTCATATGTGTGTTGAGCAACAGGTGGCTATGTTTCTAAATACAGTAGGGCACAACCTTAGAAATAGATTAGTTGGCACTAATTATAAAAGGTCAGGAGAAACAGTAAGCCGCTATTTCAACAATGTCCTTCGTGCCATTGGAGAGCTACGAACAGAATTTATTTGGCCCCCATCATTGCAAACTCCGTCCAAAATTGCCGGAAACTATCGGTGGGATCCTTATTTTAAGGTGTGAGGTTTATCCCTACCTTTGTTTCACATTTAAATTATGTAACCTTGTGTTGGCCCCTAATTAATTTTTACTTTGATGAACATAAACTAGGATTGTATTGGAGCTATTGATGGTACACACGTAAGAGCATCTGTTCCTAAAGATTTGGAGCATTCGTTTCGTGGTAGAAAGTCCTTTGCAACTCAAAATGTAATGGCAGCCGTAGATTTCGATCTACGTTTTACTTATGTCTTGGCTGGTTGGGAAGGCACAGCACATGATGCTTTAGTTTTGCGAGATGCTTTAGAACGCCCTAATGGCCTTCGTGTTCCACAAGGTAACAAAAAAATCACTAACTTAATTTCGTTATGCCAATTTTTGATAACTTGAAATGTGATCTCCTTTTCTACAATATGCTAGGCAAATTCTATCTTGTTGATGCCGGTTATGGCGCCAAACCAGGATTCTTGCCTCATTTCCGTGGAGTTAGGTACCATTTGAATGAGTGGGGGAATAATCCGGTCCAAAATGAGAAGGAGTTATTCAACCTTAGGCACTCGTCTCTTCGTGTGACCGTAGAGCGTGCATTTGGTTCACTTAAGAGGAGATTCAAAATTCTTGATGATGCAACTCCATTCTTCCCTTTCCAAACTCAAGTAGATATTGTTGTAGCTTGCTGCATAGTCCATAATTTTGTCATAGCAGATGGGATTGATGAGTTCATCATTCAAGATTCGAATTGGCCAATGCAAACCCATGCTACATCATATACTGGACAAGCAAGTGAGCATGCTGCAACCGTTCAATTTAGACAAACAATTGCGGATCAGATATGGGTAGACCATCAAAACTATTATGCAAATTAATATATAGTATCTCTATGTATTTTTATGTATTTAGACAAACAATTGTGGATCAGCTGTGCTGATTTTAATTTGTATGGACATATGGCTTGCTGAAATGTATGTACAGCTCGCTGGAATTTGTATGACATATGCCTTGCTGAAATTTATTGGTTGAAACATGCAACTTGAGAAGTAATTTATGTTGAAACATGCAACTTGAGAAGTTATTTATTAATTGTTTCTGGCTCTATTTTCTTCCTTGCAAGGTGCGCAATTACACGATATAGTGACAGGTTCAATATATTTCTGCAGGCTAATAAGCACTGCTTTGTGTGCTTGTCTGTGCGAATTCTGCTTCGTTGCTATTGAATTGCCTGTACTCAGTTTCAGTGTGTTCTTTGTCCGTCTTTGGTTTTCTTTCAGGTGTTCAGATATACCGTCTCAGCAGCAGTGCATCAAGCCGATTTTTCTTGATTACCAGCTGGAACAAGTATTCAGGTGAGCAGGTTCAGAATAATGAAAGGCGCTGTCTCGGCATGTTAGTTGTTCAGCACTTTTGATCTCTAATTCTTGTGAAAGGTCTGTAGTGTTTCATATTTCAGTATTTAGTGTTTCAATTTTAGTCCTGAATATTAAACTTTATTGCTTGCATGCTTTTGTTTGCATAGTAGCACATAATTTAGTTCAATAATGTTACGTGTGAATTATTGTTTCAAGTTTCAGGGTCTGATATTCAGTCTTCAGCTGTGTTTCCTTTGAATTTTTTGTCTCCACTATTTTGCTCAGTCTGCAGTAATTTTCTTGTTGTCCCATCCTTCTTCCTATTGCAGTCGAAAGATGCAGGCTTCATTGGTGGTGACACACCAGCAACAATTCACAATTGAAAATGTGGATTAAATTTTTTTGTCTCATCGGCTTTCTTTGTCTTCTACGTCGCCACCGCCATGGCCATCTACGTGCGTTGCAGCGAATGTGTTTTGTTTTGGGTGCTGGTTTTCTCTCTTTCTTGTCCATCAAGTTGGTGCCTGTACCTGTGTTGTTTGTCTGCCAGAAACAATTAATAAATAACTTCTCAAGTGGCATTTGTGTTTCCTGGTTTTGTATATGATAGGTCATGGCAGACCTGAACGAGGAAGTTGGGGGAACAAATGGACATGCTGTATGGACAGCACTAGAGATGGCTTTTATGCTGACTCACCTAGCCAATCTGGTGGCTAGTGGCACAAAGACATGTTCTGACTTTAAGAAAGTCCATTTGAACACTTGTGCTAAAGCTGTCAATGAAAAGTTCAGGACTATGAAGACTGGAGAGCAAGTTAAAAATCATTTGAAGACACAACAAAGGAAGTTTGCAAAGATGACCAAGCTTAGGAAAGTGAGTGCTACTGGTTGGGATGAGGACAACTTCATTATCACTCTTGATGAGGAGCACTACAATGATTATGTTAAGGTATAATTGCAAAAAACTTAACCAGCATGTTAAGTTCTAATTGTTTGCTTCTAACTAAACTTCCATTTATCTATTGTAGGATCACAAGGCTGATGCTGAATTCTTGAACAGGCGCCTTCCAAACTATGGTGAGATGCGGACAATCTTTGGAAATAGTATGGCAACAGGAAAATTTGCCAAGGACTCAAATTCTGCATTAGGTACTGAAGAAGCTAACACTGAAAATGAAGACATGAATGCAAATACTGTGCGTGAGTTGAATGCAAATGGTGAGAGTGAGGCCACTCCCTCTCCTTCTAATCAAGGGGCTACCTCATCAGCAAGCAAGCCAAAGAAAGCTAGGATTGGTGGGGATGAAGAGGATGGGCTGATTACTGTAATCAGTCGTGTTGGTGACAGACTTGCTGAAGCTATAGAGAAGGCCTGTGCTGCACCCCCACCACAGCCCACCAATGATTTACCAGATGATCTATTCAACATGTTGATTAACCTTCCAGGTTTTGATGCCGCCCAGTTAAATCTGTAATACCAGTATTTGGTGGCCAACAAAGACATGGGACGCGCATTCTACAACCTTCCTTTTGACCACAAGTTGATGTGGGTGGCTATGTTTGTCTCAGAGAGGTTCCCAGGACAGTGAAATAGGGGCTTCAATGGTTCTTTTGCTTGCAAGGTTCTCAGGACAGTGAAATAGGGAATTCAATGCTTCTTTTGCTTGCACCACATGAGACAATTAGTTGTGGTTAACTAATTCCAAGGCTCGAACTATATATTGTGACTAGCCTTGAATTTACTATCATGTGTTTGTATATTATGTGGTAGGTTAAAACTTATACTGTTTGTAAGGCTTAGAACTGTTATGTATAAGCCTTGAACTTCTATTATGTCCAAGAACTTGGCATGACCTGTAGTCTTGGCACTTGCTAATATATGTGAGTTAAGACCTTTATGGCAAACTGTGCACTTGAATGTTACATATGCATTTATCTTTTTAGATATATTTGTGGTGATTTTAGATGGCAATGTCTTTTTTTAGATATATCTGTGCTGATTTCGGAATGTAATAGCAATGGTAAGCCATTCTATTTATTAACAGTATGTCCTCAATATAAAAGGTGGTAAGTATAGCTACATTATGAAGGACGTGATCATATGGAGATATCCTATCTCTATCCCTTCATCCAAACATGAGACAGGATCACTCCGTCTCACTTTATCCTCCCAACCAAACATAAAACAGGGATCATCCCATTCCACTGACCAAACAGAAATAGGAACCATCCTATTCCAGAAAACAGAGTCAGGACCATCCCATTCTATTTCGCCTCTCAACCAAACGCTACCTAAATCTCCGGCTAAGCCTCTTAGCGATTGAAGTCTGCAAAAGCTACGAGCAGCTATAGCGGGCTATAGCTCCAGCTAAATTGTTTAACAGTTTTGAAAGAAAAAAAGACAAAAATCATTGGTCATTTCACATATTCATCAGTCATCGCTCATCAGTTCACAAGAACAGAGCTCCAGGACCATCACAAGACGTTTGGCATAACATATACAATGCTCATCGTCAGTTCAAGCACAAATGCAATGACGAAACATTATCAGATCAATCAGCACGGTGGGTGCCAAGCTCAAAGTGTTAGATTGATCTCTAATCCTAACTGGACCCAACGGCCCAGTTGGGCCTTTGATTTGTACCCTGATCGGGGATGCCCAACCCACCATGGCTGTAAGGCCCCTGTCATACTGCGCTATAAAAAAGAGGTGGGGGCCGGCGACTCTTATCACGAGGTTGACCTGAGCCGAACTCCCCACCGACAAATCCTAATCCGATCTAGAGGGCGCGCAGCCAGTGATGGGAAGCCACCAGTCGCGCCGCCTCTGGACTGCATCACCGGACTTCACTGCCTTCACCGTCGGTCGCCACTGCTCATCACTGTCCTTGTCCCCAACCGTCGCTGCCCTAGCGTAGACACCAACTCCATGGCGGACGCGAGCGAATCCTCCTTTGCGGTGTCAGGTTCGACACGTCCCTCCACTCCTCCCTCTAATCTCTGTCTAGAACATGTACTAGGATATGCTACCCATTTACATGAAGTACCCGGCTAGATCTACGCTCCTAGTGGTCCTATAAGTTCAACAATGGTATCAGAGCCGGTCCCTTAGGTGTAGATCTCGACAGAGGTGTTAGAAAAGGAAGAAAGGTCAGATCAGGTTCTGATCTGAGAAGACAAAGGGTTCGGTTGAACCCTAACCCTAACTGGGTTAAGGAAAGGAGAAGAAAAAGAGGGTTTCTGCCTTAAGAACGTAAGAGACGAACCCTAAACCCGTGAAGACTTCACGGGGAAGATAAACAGTGAAACCCTAATAGGAAAAGAAACCCTAACCCTAGATCCCCAATCGGTTGAATCCGAGAAGAACAAAAGAAAGAAGCAAATCAGAGGGGGATGTTGGGAAAGGGGAGGCCTACCTCGCCGCTGCATAGCGCTGCTGCCTCGCCGGCATGCGGGGAGAAGAAGGCCGAGCTCGATGCGGCTGCCAAAGGGGCGCCGCGGCTCTGGCCAAAGGGGCGCCGCGGCTCTGGCCAAAGGGGCGCCGCGGCTAGGCCGCTCGACGGCGGCGCGCTCACCCGCTGGGGAACGTGCATGCCGGCGAGGGGGCCGACGACGACGCCATCGCTCCACCGTTTCGCCCGCTCGACTCGCTCGGACTGTGGCTGTGCTACGGGGAGGAGAGTGGCGAAGAGATAGAGCAAAGAAGAAAATGATGATTAGGGTTTGGGAACGGCGGCCGACGGGGGGTTTTGATATCCCGAAGTAGATGCGCGACCGTCCGATGCAGGATGAACTGACGAGCGTGATCGGGCCAGCGATCAGCCCAGGCGGGAGCGCGTGGGCAGGCGGCTTTGTCAGCCCAGGCCCAGATTGTGGCCTGGGAGGCACAGCGCGCGCGTCAAGGGAGTTGGGCCGGGCCGTTTTGCAGACTGGGCCGAATGAACGGTGCTGAAATGAATCAGTTTTTTGTTTTTCCTTTTTCCAGTAAATATTTATTTCCTAGAAAATGAATAAATGGCTTAAAGAAAATGGAAAAGAGAATTTTTCTGTGGGTAAAATTCACTAAATTGAGATTTATTTTCCGCTGCATATTTAAAGATGTTATTTTCATTATTAAATTCGAACCAACGGGAGAATTTAATTTTGAAAAATGGATATGTTTTAATTGATTATGATATTGTTATTATTCTGACCAACGTTGATTAATGGCAATATTATAATGTTATTTATGATGAGTTTTGTCATGCATTAATTCTATTTCTGCCCAACGGTGATGTAGAATTAGTGTAGAGGACAATTATATGTTTTAATTTTGACTAACGTTGGAACTAAGGTATGCAATTGTTATTGTTATTATTTATGTTCTTACTCTATATGAATTGTGTTTTCAGGCGGATATAACTTGATGGGTTGTATCAAAGAGATCCCCACTCTCAAAGGTGATAACTACACGGAGTGGAAGAAAAAGATTGACCTGGCCTTCATCTTGGCTGAGGTGGACTGGGTAGTCACCTCACCGTGTCCCACTGAGCCTGTGGCACCGGTGAGGGAGACAAACGAGGCTTATGCCTCTTGGACAACCAAAGAGAGGGATTTTGCATCCCAAAGAATGTCCTATGACCTTGAGCATAGGAAGTGGGTCACTGCCAACAAGAAATATTTGGCTGTGATAAAGAACATGATTGAGCCTACAATTGTGGGCTCAATCCCAGAGTGTGACACCATCACCGAGTACCTCAAAAGAATAAAGAGTCAGTTCACTGGCTCTTCAAAGACATATGCTACCCAGCTAATAAAGCAGCTGGTGACAGAGAGGTACTCAGGTAATGGTGGCATAAGAGAGCATATACTAAGGATGAGCAATTTGGCATCCAAGTTAAAACCAATGGATCTGGCTCTTAATAATACATGTGTTGGTCTTGCTATCTTACAAAATGAGCTTTATTTGTTATCACTATGTGATGATGTAAATGTTATATGCGATGATGGGAACGTTGCGTGCGACAATGAGAATGTATCCTCGTCTGCGGATGTAAACAGAAAACGAAAGAGAGCTCACGATGCGTTGTCGAAATTATGGCACTATCGTTTAGGCCATATTTCGAGGGGGAGAATAGAAAGACTAGTTAAGAATGATATTCTTCCTCCATTAGAGCTCTTAGATTTAGAACAATGCAGAGAATGCATAAAAGGAAAGTATGTAAAGAAAATTAAGAAAGATGTCAAACGAAGCATAGGAATTTTATAGATTATTTACACAGACATCTGTGGTCCGTTTCCTGTAAAGAGTGTGGATGGTTATGATTCATTCATAACATTCACAGATGATTACTCCCGTTATGGCTACATTTATCCAATCAAAGAAAGATCAGAAGCATTGGACAAATTTAAGATGTTTAAGGCAGAAGTTGAAAACCAACACAATTTAAAGATTAAAATAGTCAGATCTGACCATGGGGGGAGTACTACGGTCGGCATACCCTATATGGCCAAGTTTCTGGACCTTTTGCAGGGTTCTTACAGGAGAATGACATAGTAGCCTAGTATTCTACACTGGGCAAACCTCAGCAGAATGGAGTAGCTGAAAGGCGCAATCGTACCCTGATAGATATGGTGCGCAGTATGATAAGTTACTCCACCTTACCATTGAGCCTGTGGATGGAGGCGTTAAAAACCGCCATTCATATTCTCAATAGAGTAGCAAATAAGTCGGTGCCCAAAACACCGTATGAGTTGTGGACAGGAAGAGTACCCTTACTAAACCACTTACGTGTGTGAGGTAGTCCTGCTGAGGCTAAAGTATTTAACCCAAACATTGGGAAACTAGATCCCAAAATAGTAAGTTATCATTTCATTGGCTACCCAGAAAAGTCAAAATATTTTCGTTTCTACTATCTAGACAGACATATAAAGTTTGTGAAAACGAGACACGCCGTCTTCCTAAAGGATGAAATGATGAGGGGGAGCATGGTAGCTCGAGAAATTGACCTTGAAGAGAAGCGGGTGTATGCGCCCACTCCAATGATTCATAAGCTATTTTTCTCACTACCTGCTGTCGCTGCACCGACAGTTCAAGATACTGTGGTGCCAACACCTGTTGTTATTCCGCCTGTGGCAACAATGAATGATGATGAGAAACCTGTTCTTCAGGATCCTGTAGAACCTATTGTCACAAATGAGGAGGAGCAACAACAGCCTCAAATAGAAGATGTGCCAAATGTGGAGGCCCCTAGAAGGTCTCAAAAAGTTAAAAATCAACTATTCCTACTGATTATGAAGTGTACAACACTGAGGAATTTCAAATGGAGGATGATCCCACCTCATTTGAAGAAGCCATAAGAAGTGATCATCATCAAAGTGGCTTGAGGTCATGGAAGATGAAATGAAATATATGAATGCCAATAAAGTTTGGGACTTGGAAATAATTGCTAAAGGAGCCAAAACAGTAGCCTGTAAATGGGTCTACAAAACAAAA